TAAGGGTGTGAAATATGAATTAAGCTTTTTGATAATCTTTTATCATCTTATGGTGGATTAAAATAAATATGCTTTCACACTTTGCAAGCTCCTTTAAATCATTGAGAAAACTTCTTTTGAAGTTTTTGTGATGGATTGTGGTTACTACTTTTGGACTTGTTTGATAATATTTTTTTCAAAAAAAGTAAAAAAAGGATTTCATAACCCATCAAGTAGTTTCCTTTGCCCAACATAACCTTTGTTGCAACCATTTTAGAGTGTTATCATCATATCCCTTTTTTTTTTCACTGGAGCGATGCATTTTGTATATGTTTATGAGCATTATTATCTTCACTATTCATCAACTATATGAAATTTGAAGTTCAATAAATTATTTCCATCAAATCTCAGTCAAAGTTTAAATAAGAAAGTTAATTTTATAATATTGTAAATATTTACAATTCAAATTCAATTTTCTATTATAAAAATATTATATTCCTAGTTCTTATACCTTAAAAAAAAATAACAAATATATAACATTTTTATTTAATTAAAATTCAAGCAATGAATATAAATGTAAGTATTTAAATATAAAAATTAAAATTATCAGCCATATGAATATAAGTTTAAGAATATGTATTTTTTTTTAAAGTATAAACATAAAAATTTACGACAGACTACCTGTACTAAAACAATTATTGGAAGAAGAGTGGGTATGTAGACTTATGAAATACAAAAGAAAGAAAAAGGAAGAAACTAAGACAAAACAAAGTAAACAAAAATGAATATTTGTTTGAATTGTTAATTTACATACTTCAACTACAAATTTGTAGTCAAATAATTTGAATACATTTAAGTTACACTTATTATATTTGCTCAAACAAAGTATAACTGCAATACATGGAAAGTGACAAAACACAAGATGTCTTAACATTTTAGTCTTTTGCATGTATATTGAAAAGGATCACACATTCTTTTTATTACTAATAAATCACTAGTTTTTGTGCAATTATTCTAAAGAAAGGATGTTGTGCTTGTGCAAAAGGTAGACACTCTCATTTTAACTTTGATTCAAGACCATTATTTTCACTCTAAATAGTTGAGATGACAATTCAATTTGTAAAAAATATGGGAGACTAGTGTATCACTTTAAGCAGTTATTTGTATTTTTATTGGTTTTGTTTTGCATGTTCTCCTTCATATCCTCCTTTGTGTTTTGCATGGTAAATTTTAACATCCTCCCTTCTTTTCAAAAGAAAGTTGGAGGATGAGTATACATTCATTTTTACTGTTGATAGTAGTTATAAAAAATTGGATTGATAGGATTAAGAGTTGTTAAAATAATGATAACCTATTGCAATCGGTGAACCCTTCACAATCCCAAGCATATTATCTTCCTGTCATTAGTCTCGACACAATGCTCTTAGTCTCTTGTATAGGTGAAAGGTTGAGGCTATTGAAATAGGAGTTGGAGTTTGTGAAAAAAGAGACATAATTGTCTGGAGGTATTTCATCTTCTTCAACAACTTTTTGTCTTCTCTGGTGACAATAATGAAGAGTTTTGTTTTCAAAGGTTGAGATAAGATAGTGAGAATCAGAGAAGAAGGTGAAGTAAGAGACTCCTCAGTTATGACTCTTATACTCTTGCATGCGTGAGAGACTCATGCTATTAGAATCGAAGTTAGAGTTTATAGAGTAGGGAGACAAAGAGAGTTATAATTGTCTTCTCTAGTACTATTTTATTTTCTCCAACAACTTTTCATCTCCTCTAATGACATTAATAGAGGGTTTTGTTTAGATGAGGAAATGAGACGGTGAGAATTAGAGGAGAAGGTGAGGTCGGAGACTCCTCAGTTAGGACTCTCATACTATTGCATAAGTGAGAAGTTAAGGCTGTTAAAATTAGAATTGAAGTCTCATAAAAAAAGAGATGAAGAGAATTATAACTATCTTCTCTAGCAAAATTTTGTATTCTCTGATAATTTTTTATCTTCCCCAATTTATCTTCTCTAATGATCTTTCACTCGCAATATTTTTGTTGTGCTTACATTCCATCTTCTTTAGCAATATTCTTTCATCCAATTATTTTACTTATTTATGTGATAATTAATTTGTAATATTAACTATTAAATTAAATATTATTAAATCTAATAAGAAAGTTGGTGCTTACATCCTCTTACTTTATTTTGAAAAATAAGGAAGAAAGTTAGAATTCACTAATTTGCATGTAGCGTGTGCGTTCACTTTTTTTATGAATACATCGTTTTATTTTATTTTATTTTTGTCTACGGCACATGCCCCTTCCTTGTTGGGCTAAGTTACTATAGGGTGGGCTGTTGGGTCAAACTCTAGCCCATGTAAACATGCACTCATTTTACATGATCCTGACCCAAACACTACTTAAACTTTATATATCCTGATCCTAATCATGACATGCATGCACGCAGCCCACAAATTTGACGGCAAGATCATGGAACTAAAGACTAGAGACACGAACAATATCACCCACAGAGGTTCAAATAAATCGAGAGATAAACAAAAGAATAAAATGGTTTTATTTCCGTTAAACCGAAAAATAAATAATTACCTTGTCCCATATTAAAGAATGTTAGTACACATTTTATATACATCCAAAAACACACTTTGAGCATTAGAGGAAGCTACTACAAAGTAATTTTCAACTGAGTGTGGGGTAAGGGTGGCGGTGGTGCATGAGCAACATGGCCAACGACGTCGTTTTCAGCCAAAGTGCAGCGCCCACGACTGCGTCCAGGAACGGTGGAACATGGGTTTGTTTGAGAACCTTGCACGGGGCCTCTTGGTAGTGATTGTAGAATTAGCTTCTTCTGCAACATTTCATCCTCTTTTAATGGCCTAAATGCCCATATTTGCTGTAAACCCAGTAGCATAATTGTTGTGAGAACAAACATCTTCGTGTAGCGACCCATTATTGTGATGAGGGAATTGAACTTCAGCAAACGCAATGAAAATCAAGGTTTCTAAAATTTCAAAAAATGCGGAGATATTATAGTACTAGGATGGATGTGGATATTATGTATGAATTTATATACATGTAAGGATATAATAAGCAAGCTGCTATTTCTTGAACGATTTGCTTTGACCAAAAGCCGCGGTTTGAAGTTTAGGAGTAAATGAAGGTGCAGAAAATATAGATGAAACTCCGCGAAATTTCCTTTGAAATGCAAAGTCCTAGTTGAATGAGTCCCCTAACCCCTAACTTGGTTTATTCGTGTTCAACATTTCTACTTTACGAAACTTTCGTTTTGTCATGCACACTTTATTTTAAGTATTAAGCTTAAAGTCTTCGCCGCTGACCAACGACCATGACTATGTCAAGTTATCAATCGCTCTTATCTCTTTGATACCACTTTAGAGTTGGGTTTGGGCTTGGGCTTGGGCCTTGTTTTGCACACACTGCACAATCTAACCTGTTATAGGATTCTCTCTAAAAGGAGTAGCAATTGTCTCCATTGTATAATCCATATTAACAGCAACAACAGCTATCGGTTGACCAAAAAACCAAACTCAGACACTCGGTTTCTGAACACACAAAAAATGGTGATGAATTGATTATTTCTGGAAAATGTCCCAAAAGAATACATCCAATGACGTACAAACATTTAAAATGGAAAATCCCAGCGAATATGCCACGATTCTAAGAATTTAAAGATAATATTGACCAAATAAGAATTACGCCTTTGATATATTATTGCATGTTGTATGTGTTAAATGTTCTATATTTTTGAAATTTCTTAACAGGTTTTTTAAAATTAATGATGACATAATTATTTTTAAGTATGGTATATGAGTGAATGTTAATCCATCTCTGATTAAAGACAAATCATCGATGTTTAATGTACACGTTTTCCTAGCCACCTAACTAAAGCAACTGACATTAACATAGTCTTCTAATAATGTTCGTTAGAATCCATTAGACAATACACAGGACATGCTCGGCTCACTGCTACACAATCCTTTTAATTACCCTTTTTTGTGGTCGAAATCCTTTAGATTACCTGAATTCAATATGAATTTTCCTAGGATACGTTTCTAAAGTCAACTTAATTAAATAGCCATTCAACAAAAAAAAAAACTTAAATAAAAACTCATTAGTGTGTTTAAATATAAAATTTAATAAAATAAAAAACATTTTATTAAACTTCTCCATTAAACTTAAGTTAGAAAAGCTTGTAAAAAGATAACATTATTTTCTTAAATTCAAAGAAACTCTAAAATCTCTTCCAACACCCTTCATTCAAAGCACAAATTCCATGTTAAAAAACGTTCACAAAATATGTTAACGATTTAACAATAAAAATATAATTTTGCAGTAACTAAGTATATTAAATAATATATTTACCATTAAATACTTCTTATCTTATACATTTTAGTATCATGAGAAAGTACTAATAAATATTCTTAAGACACTTGTTAAGGATTCAAAGATTGACAGAAGTAAATAAAATTAAAACTTAGTAAATAAAATTAAAACTTAGCAAATTTCATACATAAAAAATGCTGACATAGATAAAGAGACCCTTCAATTTATACAGAACACACTCAAATATGTGCCCACTTTCAGTATCAGTATGGAAAACGATACATTCATGCAGCACCGCAGCAGCATACCCAAATTATGCCTATTGCTCCGTGTAGAGCACAAAGTACTCCCCATGGAAATGTAAGGAAGTACTACTGAAAACAAGAGAAAACTAACAACAAAGACATTTAAAAATGACAGGAAAAAGAAAAAGTAACACTTTCAATATTCCACAGGAGACAGTCTTGCTTAAAACAAGAACACCTACAACATGATAGAATTTAGCTTAAGCATGAAACACTTAAACTAACGATTCGTCGGGAAAATTAACACTTTGAAACATTAAAACACAAATTTGAACACACGGGTGCAATCCCATCGTCTATCTACTACATCATTTAGTAACCAAATAAAACACAAGTAAATACATTTTGGCTCATCTTCATTAGCTGGAAAGTGGTCAAATCTATCCCACGAAAGGAACTCGTTCCGTTAACAGGCAATATCAATGTGAATGCAAGGCTTTTCTGCCAGATTAAATTATAATATTATCCTCTCTTGCAATATGTTAGCAATAGAAAATCTATTGATTTAGTTAACAACAACACATGCTTAAACAAGATTTTCTTGCTTTTGCTCCAATGATTCTCAATCTACTTATTGCTATTAGTCTAAACACCCTTCATATGAAATCTTGTCTATCAAAATTTCCAAAATTGAGAATGAGCCTAAAAACGAATCACCAAATTAATGCGTATTACTAACTATTATTTAAGTAGGATTCCCAACCATTTTTTTCTAATTTATTTCCTTTCCTCAAGACGTCTTCTCTTTGGTTCTCTTGATATTGACTCATCCTGCACAATATGATAAAATGTCAAATCAAATAAATGAAAAATGAGATAATAATTCCATTTCATTTTGTGATTTTTATTTCAGTAAACAAATTTTACATCACAGACATAACAGACAGGAAGAGGAGAAACCTTGACAGAAGATTATCATCGGCAACACCCAACATTCTCACTGCCAATAATCCAGCATTAGTTGCATTATTGACTGCAACAGTGGCAACGGGGACACCTCTTGGCATCTGCACAGCCAACAATTATATTTGTAAGCAAGAAAATAAAACAGTAGTGTTTGGTTCAGTCTTTTTGAACTCTTGGGTTGTATGGAAGCTCTATTTTTTAGCTTCTGCTTATTTGACTATTTTTACTTTTGAAAGCTTTTCTAAAATTGTGTTTGCCCTAACCTTTCCTTTTAAGGAGAAACAAAGCTCAAAAGAATTGAGCCAAACACTACCTACATGTAATGAAGCAGCTTTAATAATTGCAAAAGATCACTGCAGGTACAATGTCCTACTTCCTACACCAATTGAGGAAGTCATTGGCACTGATTTAACTACCTAGCAGAGAAGATTAGTATGACAGAATACCGTGTATGACCATGATTCCATCTCTTCAGTTAATCCATTGTGTTACTCAAGACAGAGATAAAGCAAGGCAAAACAAGGGTAATTTTCAAGATGACCAAAAGGAAACCAACTCGAGCTCCAATGAGATTGAACCAAAGAAGTGACGAGAGAATTGTGACAAGAAATGTGATTCTATGCAGGATGCAACATTCCCCATAATAAGCACAGTGATTGAAAATCTGTTTTCAAATATGTAGGTTAACTGATTGTCAGTACTAATTTTCAAGTGCTTCAGGCAGTTGCTGAACTCATCACGTGCTGCATCTTGAAACAATATATATTATTTTTTTTTCACAAATTGCTCCTAGAAACATAACAAGGTTGCTTTTAAAAGCAAACATCTAGAATTCATTTGTTTTAGCCTTTTACACAAGGCATCTCTCATTCACATACAATATTTAACCTAATATTAACATTCATAAAGTTACCAGAATCCTTATTGGCAGCAAGTTCTAGATAGTAGAAGAAACTTCTAAATAGTGCCAATTTTCTGAAAGAAGTCATAACTCAAATTCATTCATTTGTCCTTTTTGTGAACTAACGGCATATTATTAACTCACCATTAGAAAGGAAATCCTAGAAATCAGTTAAAGTAATTACGTTGAGCATGGAAAATTGGTAAGTAATGAATATTTAAACATCATTGAAAAGTATACCTGGACAATTGACAAAAGTGAATCAAGCCCATCCAGGGTAGAAGCACGCACAGGAACACCAATGACAGGCAAGGGAGTTAGTGCAGCAACCATACCTGAAATTTAAAAGCTTAATTAATTTCAAAAAGAAAATCAAACCAAACAAAATTACAATAATTTACCTGGCAAGTGAGCTGCCCCACCAGCACCAGCAATAATGACTTGTATGCCTCGTTCACGAGCTGATGAGGCATAAGAAAACATCAATTCCGGTGTCCGATGTGCTGAAACTATTCTTACCTGAAATAGACTTAGTTAAGGATAAACAAGTTCATACAAAAACCCTCCACGGAAATTAAAACAATTTTACCTCATGAGGCACACCAAACGTCTCCAAGATTTCAGCAGCACTTTTCATAACAGGCAGATCTGAATCAGAACCCATTATGATTCCCACACGTGGAGCAACTATATTTGACAAAGAAAACAAAGCATAATTAAGTGCAAGAATAACAAAATTTTAACTTCAAAATTTCAAATACAGTGCTCCTCTCCATTTTCCTTAATTAGAAGAGAAAGTTAGTTTTCAATTTCATCAAAGATTTCATAACAAAGATAAAGAAAGTACAACTGAAAGCGATATATGAATGAGATAAATAATATTCCACTTCCATAATCTTATTTTATTTTCTCAATTCATCAGCCACCAACAATATTTTTTGCAAAATAAGGGGAAGAAACAAGCAATTTGTCTCACCAGATTCATAAGGTAACATTCAACTTTGTCAGATTTCCTCAGGATTAAGATAATGAAACACACAATAATAGAATTTTCCCAATAAACTAGGAAATCCAAAAAAGAATGTAAAAATATCAAATGACTTAAAAATGAACAAAAAATCACGGTAAAAAGACTAATTTTGCTTCAATGACAGAAAAGGGGGTAAAATTCAACAAAAAAAAGTAGCCATGTGCAATATGGCCAAAGATCTAAATTGATAATCAATATTTTTTAATTCACATTCACCTTCCTAACATAATGACTCGCAAAAATGAGGCATTATTTTTTAGTATTCTACATTATAATTAAAGCTGAATTTAAAAAAAAATAAAAAATTGAATACCCATATTATGGAGTGACTAGCCATATGAGGTGTAAATCAAGTGTATGAGTCATCAAAAAGAAGTTTTGATAGGGCAACTAGTGAGACATGTCCAACACATATCGCACAAGCGTCAAGAAAGTGACAAAAACTGCTTTGACACCTCAACTACCGAGTTTTCATGCTTCAGAAACTGATAGATGCTTCAAATACTACACATATCCTAAGTCTAAGTAAATTGGTTATGTAGCTATAAACTATTCGCTGTACATATAAAATTATTGCATGAGTTGATCAGATATAAAATGAAGAAAACCATTTTTCTTCATTGGTCTAGCAACATGAAATCACTAACTACAAATACAAGCGAAGAAAAGTCTTTGTCACTGACCTGCAGTCTTGTCATCTAATATTTTCCCTTCTACCATTGTTGCAAGATTGCTTTCAATATTGCCAAGGGAAGTCCCAACAATGGTTATATGCCCCATCTTCCGTTGCTTTCTCATTTCTGACAAAGTGTCATGACAATAATATTTACTAGTCATACAAGTGATTAAACAGCAACAACTGAGAAGGGAGTGATCAACCGTAACATTGTTGCTTAACCAGAAGTTTACCTGGCTTATCATACCAATGAACAGTAGCCCCAGGGATGGTCAATGCTCTTCTGAGCAATTGATGAGCTAATTGAAAACCAAGCTCCCCCTAAAATCAATTAGCAAATTTAATGGACTATAATCTGAGAACTAACTAGAATGTTCTTCTAAAAACAAGTAAATAACTAATGAGAGCACTCAATAGCCTTAAGGTGTATAACCATCATTCAACTATGAACCAAGAATATAACAAGAAAAGAGTAAACCATTTTGTTCAGATTCATGACAGCAGCGAAGATTGTACATCTAATTTGACTTTCATACCTTCTGACAAACACTTAATTTAATTTCCTACTACATCATTTTTACATTTTCATTTTCTGCATAGAATAATGAGAAATATACAGTTCCTTAGTAATAACACCACTCCCTCCCAACCAAGCACCTAAAAATATTAATAACAATGACAACAACAATAATAATAAACATAATTAATTCCAAGCAAATATAGTAGTATGATTTCAGCAGGGATAGAAGAAAACCAGATTTATTTTTTTCAAATTTGGGAAGGAAAATAGGAAAATATTAAATGCTAATAGTACCTCTTCTTCACCTAATACATTGTACATTATAGCTGCTGGAGTTTTCATCGATGGATCACCAAGGGGAAGACCAACAACAGCTCGCAAGTGTTGCTCAAATTGTGAGGTATAGCAAGATTCAATTGTGTGATGCCCACTATTGTGAGGTCTAGGCGCTACTTCATTTAATAAAATCTGAGAAGAAACATAGACACAACAAACAAATGTAATACTTTTGCAACAGCAGAAAATTAACTAGTAAAACAAAGTCAATGTAGCAGTCAAGAAAAGAAAGAACATCAAGGCATGTCCAGAGTAATGAAGAAATAAATTCACCACCTGTCCATCACTAGTCAAGAACAGTTCGACTGCGAACACACCAGCACCTTCTAGAGAGTTAACAGCATTGAAAGCAACTTCAGTGGCACGCTCCCTAATTTTCCATTTCACATTAGCTGGAGCCTTGACTATGTGACATATGTTATCCCTAGAATAAAAAATTAATCTTTAAGCAAATATATAATAAGGAAGCTCAAATGATACATTACTGATTTATTCAAATTACCATAACCTAGGTTAATCTGAGGTAAATCTTGATTTAAAACCTTCCATATTAATGGCATTTATGTGTTCTACACGTTACCTGTGAATAGTTTCAACAACAGGATAGCATGAAATAGAATTGTCTCTTCCTCTCGCCACAATGACAGCTAGTTCCTGCCATTTTTTTTGGAACAAAGTATGTAAGAAAATCCTTAAACTTGTAAACATCATGACAAAATTGGGTAGTTTTAAGAAATTAAAGACTTTTTTTGACAAATCGAAAGACATTTTTTAGAAAAGTAAACTGCATGCAAGCACTATGAAGTGTAATCATAATTTTTTGAAAGGGAGACAGTTTAAAAGTAGGAGCATTTTGCAAGTGCATAATATGGCATTGGAATAAGTTACATTTTAAAAAGATTGTTACTGCAGGTAAGCACCACAGGGACTATTACTGGAAAAAGAAGAGCATGCAATTATCTGATTGAGAACCATAGTCAAGAACAGAAACAACCATTTTAAGGAACCCAGTATATTGATCATTTTAAGACTTGTTAGCTTAACATCAGCAATATCACCTTCTATTCTACAATTAGTGAATTGAGGATTGAAAAAAGTACCATCTTAATTTAGATATTGACCTTGACAAAAGGTGCCCATTTTTCAGCATATAAACCACGATCAAATCCTCCTAGGGCTGCAAAGTTGGGGGTAGGGGTGGTGTAAATAAGAAAATGTAAAAGGTAAAAAGTGAGCACATATCAAATAGACAGAAGGACAATCTTGAACTCAAAGATAAGTTTTTACTATTCTCCTTTTCTCAAAGAAAGGAAAACAAAACAAAAATAAAAACTAATTACCATCCACGGCAGAAGGAAGTTCCTCTTCACTTTTAGCGACAACATTTCCTCGTCCATCATAAGCTAATCTCCTACTCTTGATCATAAGAGGATAGCCAAAGAGCTCTCCAACTTTTTTAGCACCTTCAAGATCATCTATCTGTTCAATGAATTAATCGTGCATCTTCAAATTAGTATCCTAAAGTTGAATTTCAAATACTTTTAACTAATATAAACAGTACAAACCCGCTTAAATTCAGGAAGTGGAATGCCATGCTGTGAGAAGTGAACCTTCTGTTGATACTTATCCTGTCATACATTCAATAGTCATGTCAAGGAAATCATTCAGAGAACATTATTCTTATCTTCAAAAAGATTGAAATTAGTGAGTCTATAATGAGAAAAATCATCCTACTACAATGGCAATAATTTATGCAAGAGGTGGAAATATCTAGTTGTTCATCTTCTCAGTTAATAGCACAAGCCAAAACTAGTAAAGTAACTACCTGAATAATTCGAATTGTAGAGGCTTTGGGTTGGCAGTCAACTCCTTGTTTCTCAAGTTTTTCCAATGTAGCAACATCAACATGTTCAATTTCAACGGTCAATACTCCACATCTGACCATCATACTTTCCAATAAGTGAAGCAGAAAATGACAAATTCAAAATAATATGTATTACATAAAAACTTGAACCTCTTGGCAAATTCCTCAACCGTAGTGCTGTCATCAAAGCTTCCAACCATATGATGATAAGCCAGGGAACTGGCGGGGCAGTTCTTTTGTGGATCTAAAACCATGACCTTAATGGCCATCTCAGAAGCAGCTTGACATAGCATACGACCAAGTTGACCTCCTCCCAAAACCCCAACGACAACTTCAGATAGTCCATGAACAGGTAACTCATTATTCCTACACACCCCAACAACAGGGTGAATCAATTTTTTGGGCTTTTCATGACATTTTCAATTTCAGAAACTTTGAGAATAGATATTTTACATTAAAACCAAAAACGCTGAAAAGGGTAATAATCGGAACAAGTATAAAACAAACCCCATTAATAAAAATGCAAAATTTAACCTTAGAGAAACTGCATCATGTGTAGTTGCTTGACAAGAGATTTGGGGCGTGTGACAATGCTTTAGCTTGAAAGAAGATATAAGAGAGGGTTGTTCCATGTAGAAACCGAGAGAAGGGTTTGTCTTGGTAGAGGAATGACAGGGTCTGAAGGCAAAAGCAGAGACGTTGTTGTGCCCTGACAACACTATGCGTGCACTGAGAAGCATACTCAAAACCTCAGTTTTCGCAGCAAGAAAACAGCTTCCTAGTATGTGAGAATGTGTCTTGTCTTGAAGCCTACACAACACAACACACCGAAAACCGATTTGGCTTAGAGGGAAAGCTGACAAGATTCCCTTCCAACAAATGAAAATTAATATTTTACTTTTAGGTTGCCAATAGGCAACAGCCGGCCGAGTCAGCGGCTGATTAGATGATGGACAAGTGCTTTAACCGTTAAGATTTTTGCGATCAGTATTAACCCTGTAATCGTTTATAATCCAAACAATATATATATTTTTTAATTGATAAATATTTTTAAAACACCTTTTACTTTAAATCACTCAAAATTTTATTATATTAAACTAGGAAGTGAACTGTGTGATACACGGATAAATTATTATGTTATAATATAATATTATAATTAATAATTATAAAATAAAAAATAATTATATAAAATATTTATAATAATATTTAAATTATTTTAAATTTTAAAATTAATTAGTATATATTAATATTATTACTAATAAAATATTTCATATGCTATATAAAGATTTATAATATATTTTTAAATATTTATAAATTAACTTTAAAAGTAAAAGGTTTAAACTTAAATATAATTTGAATTTATAAATTATAAATTTAATTCTACAAAATTTAAAAATATTTTTATAATTAATTTGTAATAATTTAACATGTATATATACATACCACAACATAAGAATTTTTAATAAAATAAATAAATTTTAAGATATTTAAAATATTTTAAGGTAAAAATTATTGAAGGAGTAAAATTATGTATTTTATTTTATCTTATAAAATTATATAGCACACAATTTAAGGATAAAAATAAATAATTTTTTTTATTAAATAAGCGTATTTTATGTTTCTGAAACCATTGTTATGTATTAAGTATCATAATTTAATCTCTTATTATTGAATCGTATATTTATTAATTATATATATATATATATATAATTTTATTTTAAAATAATTATAATTTAAATATTAAATTAATTATTTTTAATATAACAGAAAGATAAAAAATATTAAATAAAAATTTTGATTATTTTTAAAATAAATTATCTATAAAAAATAAATATAACAGTTAAAAATAATTTATATGTGACTTTAAATATTATAAATATTATTATAAAAATTTAATTATAGATTAATAAATATATTTATATGTCACAGAAATTTGTTTATATTGTAATTAGTATATATTAATATTATAAAATTATAATTTAAATAAAAAATATAATAATAAAATTATATTATATTGAATAATATCAAATATAAATAGATTGAAAAATAAGATAAATAAATTTTTATATTCAAATTTTAGATACTTTATATATTTTAAAATTTTAATTAAGATTTATAGGTGATCCATGCACGGATAAATTATTATGTTATAGTATAATATTATAATTAATAATTATAAAAGAAAAATAATTCTATAAAATATATATGATAATATTTAATTTATTTTAAAATTTAAAATTAATTAGTATATATTAATATTATTACTAATAAAATAATTTTATATATTATATAAAGATTTATAATATACTTTTAAATATTTTTAAATTAATTTTAAAAGTAAAAAGATTAAACTCAAATAAAATTTAAATTTATAAGATTATAGATTTAATTCTATAAAGTTTAAAAATACTTTTAAATTATTTTAAACTTTAAAATTAATTAGTATATATTAATATTATTACTAATAAAATGATTTCATATGTTATGTAAAGATTTATAATATACTTTTAAATATTTATAAATTAACTTTAAAAGTAAAAGGTTTAAACTCAAATATTATTTGAATTTATAAATTATGAATTTATTTCTATAAAGTTTAAAAATACTCTTATAATTAATTTGTAATAATTTAACATGTATATATACATACCACAACATAAGGATTCTTAATAAAAAAATAAATTTTAATATATTTAAAATATTTTAAGGTAAAAATTATTAAAAAAATAAAATTATATATCTTATTTTATCTTATAAAATTATATAGCACAACATTTAAGAATAAAAATAAATAATTTTTTATTAAATAAGCCTATTTTGTGTTTCTGAAACTATTGTTATGTATCAAGTATCATAATTTAATCTCTTATTATTGAATTATATATTTATTAATTAAATATATATATAATTTAATTTTAAAATAATTATACTTTAAATATTAAATTAATTATTTTTAATATAACAGAAAGATAAAAAATATTAAATGAAAATTTTGATTATTTTTAAAATAAATTATCTATAAAAAATATATATAACAGTTAAAAATAATTTATATGTGACTTTAAATATTATAAATATTATTATAAAAAATTTAATTATAGATTAGTAAATATATTTATACAGAAATTTGTTTATATTGTAATTAGTATATATTAATATTATAAAACTATAATTTAAATATAAAAAAATATAATAATAAAATTATATTATATTGAATAATATCAAATATAAATAGATTAAAAAATAAGATAAATAAATTTTTATATACAAATTTTATATACTTTAGATATTTTAAAATTTTGAATTAAGATTTAAATAAAAAGTAAAAGAGAAGAATAATTTTATTGAAAATAAAAATGAATCTTTATATTAATTAAAATTACACATGTTGATATAATATAAAATTTATAAGTCACATATAAAATATAGACAAATATTATGATAAGAAAAACTTTATAATAATATTTAAACTATTTGAAAGTGAAGTCATTAATTAGTATATGATAATATTATTATTAATAAAAATATTAGTTATTTGAAAGAAAGAAATATAATATAAAACTTTATAAAGTATTTTTCTTTTCTATTGACATTAATTAAAAAGGAAAGTTTTAATTTTTATAATAAATCTAATTTATATTTTGAAAGATTTCCTTGTATACCAATTTTTAACAATTTTTGTACTTTTTCCATATAATATTTAAATTACAAATACTAAATTAATATTAATTCTTATTATTCCATTGTTGTATGACCTTTTAAATATATAAATTAATTAATTATAATTTATTCATTTTACTATTCTTCATGAATGATCCTATATGTTAATATTAAGGTTAAAAAGAAAGTATAAATATGTTAATATATATACACACTAAATAAAATATATATATTTTTTATCTTTATTAAATATTTTATATTTGTCCATATAGCTCCCATTTGATTATTTATAACAGATTCAAATGTAACATAAATGACCCTTAGAATATATATATATATATATATATATATATATATATATATATATATATATATATATATACTCATCAATTCTTATTCATTTATTCTATTATTCCTCATTAATCATATACAAATTATCAATTTTCAAGAATAAAATTTAAAGTAAATCATTTATATTAAAATTTAAAATTGTATTTAACTGCTAATTATATGCATTTCACTTCATTATTTCAATACAAAACATACATAATTTATCTCAATTATTTCATGTATATATAATCATTATTTGAGCTTGGAGCAAATCATCTTCCATTGAAACAGAAGAGTACCCATCCGACTTAATACTTGACTTATATATACATCATTCATATTCATCTTATATCACAAATTGGATAGCTTATAAGTTAACAAAAACAGGAAACATCATGCAAAACATAATGATGTCTCTATAAATAAAAAATAATTAAAATACTTACTTATTCTTGTAATCAATAGTCTCTTTTATGTTAAGATTGATATACAACTTTGTGTCATTATAAGCATTTGATATGCCTAAAGTTCCTGAAACAACTATGAAATATAATTTGTTGATAATAATAACTATCACACAATTAAAAAGAGTTCAATATAAATAAAGAATCATACCACCAAATGTTTTTACTTTACATAATTGAATAATCATAATAGGTAAAACATTAGAATTTTCATTCTTTAAAAAATAACCATTTGATCATCAAACTCCTCCCATAAAGTGCAAACAATTCTCTGATTCTTACAAAATAAATTTAATGTAATATAATCTTAATTAGTATAAAGTAATGAAAGACAAAAAATATTAAACAAATATTTTAACTATTAAAATATGTTATAAAATAATACTCACTCCAAGTCATTGAGAATCAAATCAATATATTTGATTTTCTTTTCACTTTTTTCTACGTCTTTTTTTTACTTATTTTTTTAATTTTATAATAAACTTAATTTAAAGTTCAAGAGTTTTATGTAATTTTATCAGTTATTAATTTCTAATAATAAAATTTAAAATAAACATTAATATTAAGGTTCAAATCTGCCACAAAAGATGCACTTTTTGAATATATAAAGACAGCTAATTAGAAATAAATACATTTAACTGATTTGAATTAAACCATTCAAGACAGCCTTAAAAGTAAAGATATATCAAAATTGCTAATTAAAAATGAATGGATTTAATTGATTTGAATTAAAGCATTTAAGATGGCCTTAAATAGTAATTATTAATTATTATATAAATATTATTGTATTAAAAAGTGAAGACAAATTCCCCTCCAAAACTCATTGCAACTTTTCCTCCAAAACTCATCTACTTTTATATATATAAATATAAGACAAAATTTAAAATTATTAAAAAGACTTAAATTTTAAATTAAATTTATAAATATGTTTTTTTTTTTGTGTCATACAAACGGACATCATAGTTAATTTGTTAGGGTTTGTTTAAAAAAACATTTTTTCTTTTTTGAAGTTAGAAAAAACTTATTTATTAAGCTAAGTTCTTAAATATTATTTTTAAACATAAATTTTTATTTTTAATTTTTAAAATTATAAAATAAGAATAGTTTTAAGGTGCTTTAGTTTTTTTTTATTTTCTTATCCTAAAAAAAATTTTAAAAACTAAAATAACAAACAAGTTTTGTTTTTATTTTATTTCTAAAAACTGTTTTTCAAAATTATTTTAAAATATAATTTTGAAAATTTATAAAAAAAAAAACAAGCATTTTACTATTTCTACAAATAAGTTTCTAAAATTAGAATTATACTAATATTGAAAGATTTAATCGCAATATGAGTTCTTTCTCTTTGTGCTCTAGATGCAATGAAGTTCCTGAGACTGTGATTCATATCTTGAGAGATTGCTGGTGTGCTACTCAAATCTGG